AAGTCCTTGGGCAGAACTAGCTCTCTTAGACTGGATCACAGTAGACAGTCGTCTGTGCGCTGTCCAACTAAACGGAACAGTAAGGACTCGGAAAGATAGAGACATTCGTCGTTGCCTCTTCGTCATCTCTGTCTATTCTCCCACTAACTGCAGCTCAGATGATGTAAAAGATGAGTTTTGCGGAAAGATTTCTGGCCTACTCCAAAACGTTAGGCTCTGTGATGTAGTAATACTGGCTCATGACTTTAATGCTCAATTAGCTGAACTAAGCGAAATGGAGAGACACCTATCCGTTACGCAGGGTCGCTTACCGAAACATTGGAAAAACGCCATAGGAAGTCCTGTCTTCAAAACAGGCACGAAACACAAACCTGAGAACTACCGCCCCGTTAGCCTAACTACTGTCGTTGTTAAAATATTAGAAAAGATTATTCGGAAGGAGCTGTTTAAGTATCTCGATAAAAACCGGATCCTCTCGGAGAAGCAGCACGGCTTCAGAATAGGTTATTCTTGTCTCACTAACTTATTAGTGGCTCATGAAAGCTGGTGCGCTCTTAAGGACCAAAAGCTACCTGTAGACGTCGCCTTCATTGATTTCAGTAAAGCTTTTTATAAAGTTCCGCACAACCGGCTGTTATATAAGTTAAGAAAAGTCGGGATTGGAGGCAATTTATTGATGTGGATAAAACACTTCTTAGTTGGGCGTCAACAAAGAGTTCGGGTGAACTCAAAGTTATCTAGCTGGGAAACTGTGCTTAGTGGAGTGCCCCAGGGTACAGTTTTGGGGCCAGTGCTATTCCTCTTGTATGTAAATGACCTTCCTTGTCTCCTATCATCATCGGTCTTGCTATATGCTGACGATGTCAAGATATGGAAAACGATACGATGTAAGAGTGATAGCTTAGAACTTCAAAATGACCTGAAGAGATTATCTGAATGGTCTCAAACATGGCAGTTGCCGATAAATATTTCCAAGTGTGTTGTGATGCATATCGGTCATCAAGGCACAGATACATACACGACGAATAACACTGAGCTACCTGTCGTCCAGACATATAATGACTTAGGAGTTATCGTTAGTCAAGACTTAAAAACTTCTTCACTCGATGGCCTGAAGCAGTACCTATCAAGGACATCACTGCTGAAACAGTGGCTCGCGCCTTCGTCGAGCGATGGGTATCAAACTTCGGCTGCCCTTCAACCATCACTAAAGACCGCGGACGTCAGTTTGAATCTGGTCTTTTCAGTCGCCTGACGACACTTTTAGGAATCACTCGCTTCCGAACGACCGCCTACCATCCACAAGCAAACGGGTTGGTAGAACGTTTTCACCGACAACTAAGAGCTTCACTATCAGCTGCAAACGTTTCACAGTGGACTGACGCTCTTCCACTCGTCTTACTACGTATACGCAATGCAGTGAAAGCTGACATTAGATACACTGCGGCTCAACTCGTTTATGGAACGACACCTCGTCTTCCAGGAGAATTCGTGGATCCTTCGTCCTCATCAATGAACATGGATCTAACCTCCTACACGAACAGGCTTACAAACGCAATGCGTTCAGTTAAACCTGCTTCCACTCGACCACAATCAACCGATGTTTTCGTTCAACCTGACTTACGATATAGTACACACGTTTTCGTTCGTCGAGACTCGCATCGACGACCTTTCGAATCAGCATACGAAGGACCTTTCAAAGTTCTTCAACGCGAACCGAAGTACTATATAATCGATAAGAACGGAACCAACGATAGCATCAGCATCGATCGCCTCAAAGTAGCGTATTTAGAAGGAAATCCTATCTACGTCGATTTTCCTTCGGTACAATCGAACGACACGACTCCACTCATAATTCCTCAACCGACAACCAACACTGGCAATGATACTCCGAATGTATCTGAAAACAAACTTAAAACGACGCGTTCTGGAAGAAGAGTTAGATTTCCAGAACATTTAAACGACTCCTGCACGTAAGGCACTACTCGACATTTTATATTATCTCGATCTTTCCTTTTACGATATATAATTTTTTTGTAAAAAAAGAATTTTAATATGCTTATATATTTGTATTTTTCCTTAAAAAAACTTACACTTACACTTTCTTTTTTCTTTTCCAGGACGGGTGGAAAAGAACGATGCAGTCTACGAGGAGTCGAAATTTTCGTTGTAACTTTTTCTTTTTTTACTATGTTGTACCTCGGTCCCATATAGTAAGGAAAGACGACCAGACGCTGCTAAACTTAGTAAGCTATCAGAAGAGTGTTTACCAACGACAAACTCGTTGGGTTTAAACTTCTGGCTGGCCACGTCTTAGGGTCGCCACTGCCCCACTAGGGGGGGAGTGATCTGTAGCGGTAAATAAATCCACAAAATAAATAGCCCTGTAAGTTTTCGACATTGGATGCTGACCATATGTTTTAGTGGACTCATCTAGCTGAAGGCGCTCGGTCAGGCATCCGCACCAGATCACGTGTGGTAACGCCGTGCTCAACATCAACCGCAATCGCTAGCCAGATCAGATCAGAGCATTCCGATATATTGGTAATCGCCAAATACACTCTTCCGATCTCCTCGACTCTGTCTTTTGATTTCTCTGGGTGGGAACGAAATATATTAGAAGGCGTTACTGGTAGAAGCGTTGCCAAACACTGAATACCTTTGGGGATTTCCCCAAAGTTCCCCAGGTCTGGGGAAATTTCGGTTTTTTTTTCTCATTTCCTAAAAATTTATTATAGCGGCTTCCCCAAAATTTCCCCAAAATGGACTAAATTTTCCCCAAAGTTGGGAGACTGGGGCAGTATTCAGTATGAATTCATACTGAAGACAACAGGGAGTTGTTCATAGTAACACAGTTTACAGTACAACAAACGTTTCTTCAGTAAAATCATACACTGACAGTCTATCTGGAAACAATCAACTATGTGAATAAACTCACTATGACTTGAGATATCATCCCAGCGTGCAATGGACGTACGAAATCTGTGGTCACTTGAAAGCACAGATGTCCCTGTGCGATACATTAAGCTTACATGGTTGCGTTGAGGATAAGACCATCCTAATTGGTAGGAGCTTAAGGGCATGACTGATAGTGAATGAATAGTGGAAGCAGGGAAACCATGTGTTTCATCATCTGACAGTCCGTTATATTCATGACTAGTCTGGATATTAGATGGTCTGTAATAAAAGTCCTTAGTGCTGGGTGAGAATTATTACCCATATCGTGAAGTGATTTGAGTGACTGAACTTTACATTCATTTAAGTGAAGTAGTAGTTCATTGGGATGTTTTCTAAGATGCACGATCTCACACTTGTCGTGGTTAAATGGCAGTTGAAATTTTCGCCACAGATAATAAGGTTCTTAAGGCCACTTTGAATCTGGGACACACTTTCACCTAGAGCCATAGGCTTAAACATGTATACTGTTTTCAGATCATTGGCGTATAAGTATGGTCTCTCAAATTTTATGGTGTAATCATTTCTGCAAAGTGAGACAGAGAAAAATAGGTGTAGCATTTGAGAAGTGCCTTTACTCGTAGTCCGGTCTCATTTGGATCTTTGGGTGACAGTGAGTCATGATCTCAAGACCACGGCCAACTGTCGGGAGATTGCAGCCAAGGGGTTAAGAGCAAAATAGGCTTTAATACGGACATTTACTCACTTAATTAATACCGTATTCACCATAGCATACACAACCTTAGTGAGAACTAAGCTAGAAAACTGCGTTCAGTTTGTAAGCCCCTTGTTAATTGATGACTCGGATACCTTGAAAAAACGTACAGAAGGCAGCTACCCGTGCAACTTTAGAACTCCAAGGTTTACCATAAGGAGAAAAGCTAAACCTTTTTACTCTATCCTACCGCAACGTGCTCAAAGTAGTTAAATGGACATAATTAAGCCGATAAAACCAAAACACGAAATATAGGCCAGTCGAACTTACCTAAGAAAAAAAGAAGGATACATATATACTGCATTCATACTGAAGACAACAGGGAGTTGTTCATAGAAACATAGTTTACAGTACAACAAACGTTTCTTCAGTAAAATCATGCACTGACAGTCTATCTGGAAACAATCAACTATGTGAATAAACTCACTATGACTTGAGATATCATCCCAGCGTGCAATGGACGTACAGTGTAACGCAGTCAGACGTGGCGAATAAAATTAAAAACAGAGCAAAATTAACTACATAATCTAGTTGTTTAATTAAAAATACATTATGAAATGTCAAAATCTATGGTTACTTGAACGCACAAATGACAGTGTGCGATACATTAAATTTACATGGTTGCGTTGCGGATAAGATCATCCTATAGATCACCAACATAGATGATCTATGTCGAAATGATTGGAGGCCTACTCGAGTTAGACGTGAATAGTGTGACAAACTAGCTAATGTAGAAGTCACACCTCGTGGTTAGCACGTTACGTGGACTACCCCATTGACGTATCAAGGTATCATAGATGCTTCGAAGACTGTACAACACAGAGGACGTTATTACAGAAATATATTAGTTAAGGTAGATACAAGCGAAAGTAAGACCACTGCCGCATGGGCCAGTCCATGGCATACGATTAACTAATGCGCGTTGGTTGTACATGACCTTGGCAGGGAGCGATGATCTGTTCGACATTCAGTGATCCGACTGCCGGATGATTTGGCTAGGACTCAGTGACATTTCACTGGCCCTACAACCCGAAATGATTATGAATCTAATATATACTACATTTTATTCCCCCTAGATCTGGACGTCTCAGAGGACATAGCGGGAAATCAAAAAATCTAAGAACGGACAAAAATGCCCGTGGCGTTAAGGTTTTCACACTGAGTCATCAATTCTTGGAGCCTGTTACCCGAAGCAGTGATGTTCGCCTCTTCACTTGACTCATTCAAGGAAATATTAAACACTCTCGGAAGCTCACTACAACAAAGAATGGCAAAAAATGCAGGCTTTCTGTTCTCAATACAGAAATCCAAGAGCTCCTTCTATTCCTTCCAGGACCTTTTTAACCATTCCAACTTCAAGGTCGTTGCTAGTCTAACATTCAACAATGATGACCCAGACACCAGTCATATTACTTATTTGCTTCATAATAAATTTTATTCAGTCAACTGTGAACGGTACTCACCATTCATAAAGTTTCGTTATGTCTAAAGATAGATAGAGCATGCTTGTGTGATATCAGGCCGTTGGTTTGTGACAAGTTCTGTCAATGTGACGCAGACTGCTTTAGTGATAAAAATAACTCGTTTTCCTCCTTAATCTCGTTACAAAGGTAACTAACATCTTAACTTAATTTTGTAGAGAATCTTATGGTTCGAAATGGTGCATTCCAAAGGCACTTCATTTTTTATCAAATGCAGAATTTACTAGGAGTCAGGACAGTGAAACTATTTGTTTTTCCGATATAAACTGTAAGAATTACAGTAAATTATAAATATAAGATTTGAGAAGGAACTACCTGCAGTTAAGTCGCGGTGCTGGTCAGTTTGGGATGAATTCTATTTCAGTGACTAACTTAAATTCGATAAACGGTTGTGTAATGTATTAAGTTCATAAGATATTTAGCTACTGTTTTCTTATAGGCAGAAGACGATTTATGCTTAATCTATAGAAACAAGATACTTGGACGTTTCACATTGCCGAGTGGTTCGGGATGTCACGTAGAGTTTTCACCAAGTAAGCCCTTTTTATCTTCCATGTGCTAGGAACATTTTCGTATATTTCGTGTATTTGTTGAACTCCTTTTGACTCATATTTTTTGGTTTTGAACCGCTGGAGAAACCTAAGCTCTATCCCTGCTTTTCTGACTTGAAAATTCCAATTACTCGAGTTACCCGGTGTTGGCTCTTAGGTTAGTTTGTTCCTCAACTTAGTTTCAATTTGGAAAGGACAGGAGGCTCGATGGCCTATGTTAGTCCTGGCAATGTTGGTCTCACAGTTGATCCAACTTTCTTTTGAAAGAGTCGACGGATGGAGCCTCAACCACGTGCTGAGGTAGTGAATTCCACTCGTTGATGATTCGATGGGAAAGTCGATAGTCAGCTGACAAGTAATTTGTTCTCGGCTTGTGAACTTTTTTGGAGTGTCCTCGTAAATTCTCTGTTTTGGAAGACAAGAAAAATGAGGGCATGTTAGGTGCAAATTTATCACTAAGCAATTTGTAGACTGTAATCAAGTCGCCTCTAGTTCTGCGATATGACAACGGGAAAAGGTTCAGCTTGGCCAGTCGAGATTCATACGGAAGCTTCGCTATTCCGGGAACCAGCTTAGTCGCCGTTCTCTGAACCTTTTCCAGAAGCTCACTGTCTTTTTTAAGCAGGGGCTAGCCGCTTGTATGCAGTACTCAAGTTTAGGACGAACGAACACTGTATACAAAGTCAAAAACGTTTTGGCGTCGACATGACTAAAAGCCCTACGTATTGACCATAACGTTCTAAAACTTTTGGCGGCTATTGCACGGCAGTGTGCAGTAGTCTTTAAGTCTTGACTAACGATAACTCCTAAGTCATTATATGTCTGGACGACAGGTAGCTCAGTGTTATTCGTCGTGTATGTATCTGTGCCTTGATGACCGATATGCATCACAACACACTTGGAAATATTTATCGGCAACTGCCATGTTTGAGACCATTCAGATAATCTCTTCAGGTCATTTTGAAGTTCTAAGCTATCACTCTTACATCGTATCGTTTTCCATATCTTGACATCGTCAGCATATAGCAAGACCGATGATGATAGGAGACAAGGAAGGTCATTTACATACAAGAGGAATAGCACTGGCCCCAAAACTGTACCCTGGGGCACTCCACTAAGCACAGTTTCCCAGCTAGATAACTTTGAGTTCACCCGAACTCTTTGTTGACGCCCAACTAAGAAGTGTTTTATCCACATCAATAAATTGCCTCCAATCCCGACTTTTCTTAACTTATATAACAGCCGGTTGTGCGGAACTTTATAAAAAGCTTTACTGAAATCAATGAAGGCGACGTCTACAGGTAGCTTTTGGTCCTTAAGAGCGCACCAGCTTTCATGAGCCACTAATAAGTTAGTGAGACAAGAATAACCTATTCTGAAGCCGTGTTGCTTCTCCGAGAGGATCCGGTTTTTATCGAGATACTTAAACAGCTCCTTCCGAATAATCTTTTCTAATATTTTAACAACTACACTAGTTAGGCTAACGGGGCGGTAGTTCTCAGGTTTGTGTTTCGTACCTGTTTTGAAGACAGGACTTAATATGGCGTTCTCCTAGTCTTTTGGTAAACGACCCTGGGTTACTGATAGATTAAAGCATATACTTAAGGGGTTCGCGACAAAGTTAGCTGATTCCTTTGGTAGCCTAGGGTGTAATTCATCGGGCCCCGTGGATTTACCTATGTCAAGCTTACTTATTAGACCAAAGATATCGAGTTCTTTAATGGCCACGCTGTCCAGTGTATGTAGGGGGGGATTTGTATGGACTGATGGGGTATTTCTATGGTACATACATTGCTAAAGTAGTTTGAGAATACTTGAGCCTTACCAAAGTCGTCCTCCACTAATGATGAGGCAGTAGCTTTCTGTAGGTTACTTCGATCGGTGGTTCGAAATTATGATTAAGAATATGTGTTTTTCTTTGCTCTGCATGACTCAGATTCGATGAGATCCTTGAAATATCACTACTTATCTTCGGAGAGTTGTTCTTGTCATTTATAATCCCTCTGACACTTATAATTAAGCCCGTAAGACCGCCTAATGGGACAAAATTTTTCTAGCTTGACTTCGTCACGCGTGTATGCAAATTGTAAATTATCGATAATTCCTATCCTCATAGTACCAGCGACTAAAAATTTACCACGTGGAAAGATGAACTCATAGAATTTCAACCTTGGTATATCTCAAGCCTAGATACTTTTGTAAAAACCTCTGTCCAGTATTTCTGTGGAAACTATGTTGTTTGTTGGTCCGAATGCGGCTATTACGTTTTTAAATGAGGGTTTTATTTAGAGATAAGTTAGTAGAATGACTGAAGTGATAATAAGGGGATAGTACTTAGTTTTTTACTAATATTAATTTTCACCATTAATTTTATCATTTCTAGATAAGACATATAATGTGTTGTCACAACAGGTTTCGCCAGTTATTTTCATGAAAATGTAAGATCGCCACTTATTCTGTAAGAAAATTCAAGGAAAAATATAAATTCATCTACATGCGTCTCAGACTGAAGGATTAATCCTCACTGACTGTATTCGTTCCGTAAAAGTAGGGACTGACGGTTACCTCTGAAGAATTACTAATCAAGTAAATATTTAAAGGGAATATAGTATTAGTATAAATTACTCAGACACAAACATCAAGAATTCATGGTAAAGTTTACCCAGTTACACCATTCTTGACCTATATTTTGTTATTGGTCCAAACATCAAGTATTTCTAAGCATTTGATCACAGATACTTTTTGAGCGCTGCAAGAGTTTGTTGGAATCAATCACTGAGAAGATGGTGTTCATCATACAGTTGAATTAAATGATGAAAGATCCCTTATGTCCGAACAAAAAATAAATGAATGATAGCTGCTAGAAATTATTTATGAACTATTATTACATATATAATTATTGAATAAATACTGAGTAACCAGATTATATATATATTCCTAATCTTTTCTATCGTAAGCTTTCATTTGGCCCATTGGTTACTGTCACACGATAAGCCATTCTCACTTCATTCCCAATCTATTATTTACAGTCTTCAATACTCACAGCCACTTCTTTTTATTCTGCATAATTATTATTTTTCACCGTATGGTGTGATGTGGTCTGGTCTGCTCGCAAATAAATTACGTATGTCTGCAATATACAATTCACACAGCAGGGGCTGATAATGTGTTTTGGACTGAATAGGCTGTGCTAGTTGAAAAAATTGCCATACAGGACCAATAAGCACTCAGCGTTGACCATAGGTTGCTCGTGCTGGTTAATGCATCATTGGTTTAGCACAGGGACAAGGTCTTAAAAATGGATATTCTGATTGGCAATTTTACCATTTGATATTCACCGAGCCACAGTACATAACGAGAACTTAAATGATGTGATTAAAAACCAGTTTCATAGCTTTTAGCGTATTTAACCTTCGTAATCTTGAGTTCAGTTTGAATTGGCAAACTTTCCGTCCCTAAACTTTATTCGACTTTTCCAAGCCGTTTCTTAAATGCTTAGGCCATCATTAGTACCAGCACTATTTCTGTATTACAACTTTGCATCTTCTGTTTTTTCGGATGTAAGTTGTGTAAATTCAAGTTAATGCATACCTGTTTATAACCAATTAACTGACCAAAAGTGTCTGAATTGTGAGAAATATTTTGAATTATGACTTAAAAATTTATTTTAGAATTCCTAAACAACATAACAACCAAGTGCACTCGCACGTTGAGTTTTAACGATAATGGTTCAAGTTGCACACAACTGCCAAGTGTCTTAATGTACACAAATGGATTAAAGTTTTTACGACTACCGATATCAAAGCTTTTTAAAAACAAGAGCATTTCTTTGGAAGCAGTTATGGCCAGTAATAATACGATTTCAGTTCGTTCATCTATTTGTAAGAACTTAAACAATGACGTAATACCCTGTCCAACATCTCCATCCTCACTTGATTCACCCAGCCAAGCGTGTATGTATGCAATCATGGGAGTAAGTTACCAGTCATGATGTGTATTTGCTTCTTATCATTGTTTTTCACAAATGACATATATTTTAAGGTCGAAACTGACTTGCCGATTGTTTTCTGACTACAAAAAACTAAAACTCCTTCCTATCAAAATTTCTATATTCTGTAGAAATCTTGGATATTGAATGATTGATATATGTTAAAGTCAAAGATGATGTATCATTCACCTTTCCTTTTTAGTCGTATGCTATATCATGAGCATTTATGTCCGAAAATTTGTTACTTAACTGAATAAAATGGGCGGGAAGTCCTGTATTTGCGTCAATTTGTGTGAATTGACGCTCAACACCTGGGAATCTATTTAATCTTTAGGAGATAGATGTCATGTCCCGATAAGCACAATGAATGGTAACTGTCGTAATCTATTTCCGGACTAATACTATGCATATATTTTTATTGTATAATTATTAAGTAACTAAACTATTCATATTCGTGTTCCTCTTATCATAAGCTTTATTTTGGCCTATGCACTATTATTATACGATTTACCGTTCTTGAGTTATGTCCAGTCTATTAATTACTATCTCCCTTATTCACAGCCACATTTGGCTAAATCTTTTACAAATGTTGTTCCCCATTTTATGGTACGATGTGGTCTGTTTGGTTTGCATATGAACCCAGTATGTTTGAAATGAATGATTGATATCACAGAGACGGAGATCGGTGTTCTGGACTTAACTGGCTGGGCTAGGCAGGACCGATAAAGACTCTAGACTGCTCGTACGGGTTTTATACGTCATTGTTCTGGTCGATAATTCGCTGCTCTCTAACTGGCGGTATTATCACGTCATACATTAGCAGGGTGCTCAGGCCACAAGTTATGACAATTGGCGACGGGGTGAAAACGAAAAACCTAAGGACACAAAACCACAAGTTATAACAATAGATGTATTATATAGTGCTTAAATCTGTATCATCCAGAGTTACAGTCAGTGACATCAAAATTGGTATAATTTGGCCGCAATAGTCTCCTATAGGGCGAACTAAGTTGTCTCTAGATAGCAGTCATTATCGTATCATCTAGATTTTAGTACCGCCGAATTTTCATCTAGTGAGTTTCGTCATGGATACTAGCCAGATCTCATTGGGAAACGAACATCTCTAACGTTTGAGATATCTCTTACTGAACAGTGATGGCTCATACAGATTCTTACCTTTGTCCGCTCAAAATAAACAACACAATGCATTATCACATCTACTCACTTGGTGTATTGACCAAATTATATCTTGTTCGATAGATTTGATTAGCAATATGAACTAGACAAACAAGACGTCCACCATTGCTGAATGGTTGTGTTATGACAACAAGTGAAATGATCATCCTAGATTATATATTATGTAGTGTGGGGATATTTCTAAACTTTCATAATTTACTTCACCGATTGATTTTAGTTAGAGAACCAGGAAACATTGGACAGCTGTCACATTCTAGTGTGATACTTTTCAAATGTACAACAATCTTGTTCTATAATAGCGTGATATTACTGGTATATTTGTATAAATTATGTATAGTGGAGTAAATTTATAATGCGATTTTTATTTCTATGCTATTTTGTTTTTTAAATCAAGGTGAAGTTTAGTATTATTTATAATGAAAATGGTATAACAGATATCTCAGTTGAATTTATCATTACAAATGTCACAACTAAAAAATTTAATCAGTTTCACACAGTACAATTTATTGAAGTAAGTTCTAATGAGTATTCTGCTTAAACGTTAATTAATAATTACAATTAAGAATACTATCTGACTGACAGTAGGTATGAATTGTGTTTTCTAGTCAAGTCTAGCGAGACTATAATTTATGGACGAACCAATCAGGTATAAGACAACAGGTATCGGAATTTGGCGCGAAATTCACTCAAACATTTGGTTAGGTAGAGTCTTAACGTTATAACTGATGTCAGTTCGTGATGAGAACCCTAAATCTAATTCCTAACCTTGACCATCAACTGTAAATCATAATTCGAATTCCTCACACTAATTTATAACCCTCATTTGGTCCTAGTTATCAGGTGGACACTCTCAAGGTCAGTCTAGCGTCGCTCAAAGGTCATCCATAAATTGTAGTCTCACCGTCAAGTGAATCATTAAAACTATCATTCAATCAATTATTCTTTAAAAGACATTTCATCATGTTTACTGCTATGTACCAATTAATATGTGCATAAGTATGTCATTTTGAACTTTAAGAAAACCGCTGATTTTGGTGTCCAGTCTTTTGATAACAGTTTATTTTTCGCACTAATAGATTAGTATGGTGAACAGGTGTCACTTGATTATCATTATGTTACCATCTATTAATCAGAATTTCCGTCTGCTATAATTTCTCTTATTATGACCCAACTACTCCTATTGCTTAGTAGTCTTGGATACTACTTCACTTGACAAGTCACCAAATCAGAACACGGTTGAACAGGAACGTACTTATATGTTTCAAAGCTTAATACTTTGGCAAATAAGCTTGAATTTCACCCATATTTTGATGTTAAAAATCGGATAAAATTCGTTAGATAAAACAATGTAAAATTAATTATAAAGATGTAAATTCTGCTTTTTGGGATAAAAATAGGTGACTTGATGACTACCAACGATAAGTTTCCAGTTTAGCGTAATTTGAAGATGAGCACTCTAACGAACTGACATTAACTAGAGAAACATTTAAAACTAAAAATCACTGAAAAGCTGATTTATTCTATCGATGTCATGGCTTCATTTATTTAGATGTCTCCAGGCTAAGGCTCCTTGTTTTTTTTCAATAAATTTCCAGTTAACATTGATTTGCTGAGAAAACCATCTTGGTGAAGTCTCGTTCACTGAGCTGGACGGTTTTATCAAGAAGCTTTCAGTTTATTTCTAAACATCATCAGCATAAACTTCGCACAGAAGCGGCCTATTTGAATTTCTTCTTCATACATGATTAACAACTTATTTTGTTCACATAAAAAAATTATTGGTGAACGAAGGCTTCACAACTAAACCACTCAGCTCAGAAATCAAGGCCACACCATCATCTTTCTAAGCTATAAATCTTCTCTATAATTAATCCCAAGTTAAAATGACTTAGATAAAAATAGTGTTATTGTCAAACCTAATTTTGTCAGATTTACATTTTACCGACCCAATTGTTGAGTTTCTGTTATTGCAGAGAAAGAAAGAGAAAGATGAAATACACTGATTGTATTCGAAGCTTATTTTCATAAAATATAAAAGAGCAGGTTTCAGTATGGTTCCTAATGGAAGGGAAATAAAAGCGAGACTCTAATTTATGGACGACCTTTGAACAAACCTTCAGTGACCTTGAGAAATATTAGCCAATCAGCAAACAGTCAGTACAGAGTAAAAGTATGTTATACAAAACCAAGAAAATAAAGTGGATACACTTCTTATACGTGGTTGAAAAACCTGTCAAGGTTAGAAAGAAGTTCAGGGGTTCTAAAATCGTGATGCATCCAGTAGGGGAAATCATCCATACGGCTACAGAATAGTCGGCCTCTGGAGCCATGATGAAGTCTCAAAAACTTTCAGCCTCGACCACATAGCTTCAATATTGTTTATGTGCACTCAGATTGTTGAGTGCACAAAATGCTACTTGTGGATAACGACACGATGCACATAACCAAACCTATGTAGGAGTCTGTACGCTCTCCAAACATCCGTATATATGGTAGTACCTGGCTGCAGCCAGTGTTACTGGTGCTTTTATTATCCAGTTCGCAATAATTGTAGTAATTTGCCTTAGTTAGGAATTATATATAGGGTTTTCATCACGAACTTACACCAGCTATAATGCCAGAGATTTTTTTAGCCAAATGGATGAAAGGCTTTCGCGTTAAAATCCGAGATGTATTATCCTGTACCTGATTGATTCGTCCACAAATTATAGTCTTGCCGTTTTCTTTGTTATAGCCGCTCAATTATCACGTTTTGTACAAAATTCCATGTGAACCGATCGTACTTTAGCATTAAGCACTGAAGTTGGCGCTGTAACCTTGAAATCTCTAAAACGCCTCTGATTGGCTCGTCCATAAATCAGAGTCTCGCCAAAATAAGTTCTTTCTTTGAATAAGTGGTTAATTTTGGCTGTTAAACAATTATACGTTATCTACAGGTTGTGTTCTTCGCGAACTCCAAGATTCTTGTTTCTATCTTCAGTGGGGCTGTGGATATGCATTAGTGAATAGTCCCATATTAGAACGAAACAGCTATTCGGTGCTGTCTGATTTTCAATAGTTGTTAAACTAATATCAGTTTATCATGTAAATTATAAAGTTCAAAAACCTATACAAATGTCTTACACTAATATTAGTATCTGTCTATTAATTATTTACACTTCCACACCATGACCAGTAAACTTCGATTAATAGTTAAGGTTAGAAGATTCTTGTTGAGATATTGACAGTATTAAGTCTTGTATTTTTAATTGGTAATATACAAAATGATAGATTATCTTCTTGTTTACCTTGTTTTCGTATTCAGGAAAACAGTTTATCCAATACAAGTACATTAATAGCTACTGACTATCTAAGCGGAAATCTAGGTTACCTAAAAAATTATCCTGTTCGAGCTGGTTATATAGAAAATAATAATAATACTATTACTCCATATATAGTAATGATATCATACCCATTAAATCCAACATTATATCCAAATGAATATGGTCGAATTAATTTTGGTTGGTGGCCTATACCGAATATTGGTGATTGTACAAATTTTGCTAGTCAAAGTAAAACAATATTATTTGGACAAAACACTTTTAGTTCCTGTGTGCTAAGGTGATGTTCCCTTTTCCTTTATTTATATTTGACATTTCTTAACATAATTACATTGTTTCTACTAAGGATTTATCATTTTCCTAAAGTTGATAACTGACATAATAGTTTGTTCATTGAAAACAATCAGCTTATCAACTATCATAGAGAGTAACCACATGAAGCTTGAATTCAATCTTTTAATTTCCCGTAACTTGTTATCCATCAAAACAATATCATTTTTTCTGTTATAACTTATGCCCTGTGTTCTATGAATGTATAACGTAATGATACTGCCAATTAGAGAACAGCGAATTATCGACCAGACCAATGACGTATAAAACCCGTACGATCAGTCTAGAGTCTTTATCGGTCCTTCTTCCTACCTAACCAAGCCTCCTGAGTTCAGAACATCAATATCAGCGTCTACGATATGAATCCTTTATTTCAAACATACTGGGTTCATATGCAAACCAAACAGACCACATCGTACCATAAAATGGGGAACAACATTTGTAAAAGATTTAGCCAAATGTGGCTGTGAATAAGGGAGATAGTAATTAATAGACTGGACATAACTCAAGAACGGTAAATCGTATAATAATAGTGCATAGGCCAAAATAAAGCTTATGATAAGAGGAACACGAATATGAATAGTTTAGTTACTTAATAATTATACAATAAAAATATATGCATAGTATTAGTCCGGAAATAGATTACGACAGTTACCATTCATTATGCTTATCGGGATGTAGCAATTTTTAATACAAAAGTTGTAAGTACTGTCAATAAACGAGTAAATAATGAACTCTTTAAACTGTTAATCTCAATAGGATTACAATCCCATCAGAACGATTTCTTGTCTTTATATATATCACTCAGATGAATCGAACATTTTAATTGAGACTAGAGTGAAAAATAACTATTCGACATTGAAAGAAAGTTGAGTAACACGGAGAATTGATCAAAGTTAGAAAAATTAACCAATCGGTGCCGTCTCAATCGTCCGAAGTCTTGTGGTGTCATGGATGCGCATTGTTAAAGAACTCCGCTTGGAGTCCCTCCGGGGGCTACTGCCGGTCCCAAGCCCGGATAAGGGATGAGTGTTGGGCATGGGGTTAGCGACCCCGTCCTGTAGAAAACTAACTCGCTAAAAAACGCTTACCAGAAAAAATTGTTAAAGAGTCTCATATAAAAATGAAAAAGCTGTCTAATCCTTCCAGGTTCTTGATGGTTGTCTAAGATTTATCTTCAATGTAGATTGAAACAAGTAAATTGTCTAATCCTTTAATGATTACTCATTTTTATTACTACGATGGTAGAATTTGAAAATCTAGTTCCAGTCACTGAATTTAAACCAGCTACCAGAATATACATCATAAGGAGTATTAACTCACTGACCAATGCAAATATGTTCTATATATGATTGTCAGCTGACGCGAAACACCAGATCCAGGACTTTTTAAAAGTTACTTTCAATAGCCAGAAATATTAATAAGAGCCAATAAAATTCCCTGTTGACTAAATATTTGTTGGGAAATTATAAGCTTTCTTTGAAAACAGAAATAGTAGGATTGCACCATGACCAAGGCTTAACTTCATTATAATAAATTGAGTAGATTATTAACAAGAGAAATATATTTGTCAAGTTTTGATGGGTAGAAAATTGGAAACAACCATGGATTTACAATCTAACCATTCAGCCCAGTTAACACATCGTTAAAATGTGATCTTCGAGTTTACTATCAGTCAGTCAAACGTAGGGTCTGGCACACATGTACTCGTTAAAGTTGCCATACCATATCAGTACAGTAATATGAAATTATAGACAGATCCCATAGTAGTAGAAGTCGTGATATTACCAATGGTAGTGGGAAAGGTTTGACATAGACAATGCCATTCAAGAAAGAACAAATTTCCACATTACAAATAAGATAATTTGATGGTCGAAATCAAGGAAAAGACTAGGAGTGAATGCGTATGGCCGATCCAGAACTATGTCACCCGAAATCTCCAGCCATTGGTTCCGATGATCATGTGGACACCAACTATGGTAGTTTGGACATTCCAACATGACCCAGTCAAATAATCAATGACTTCACTAAAGATCATGTCCAGCTATTTACCAATCAGTTTGTTGCATAACTTGTGACCATAGGGTTTAATCAATTATTTTATTAATATTTAACAACCAAATAATTTGTAAAGAAAAAGCACCTCTGTTTTACATTGGTGTTCCTTTTGTAGACTAAAACCATTGCGGGAAAATAATTATACAAATTGTAATGAACTGGAACAAGTCATTAGTATGTCATTAAATTGTAAAAAATCACCTATTACTCATGTCGGTATTTGGGGCAATGCAGACAATAAACAGATAACAGATTGGATTAAAGTGGATGTATTCAATGAAAAAAATAACATTGCTTTTTCGAATGGAACAAAATCTTGGTAAATGAATAAACTTTTATTTTCTGAAAACTAAGTCACACTTTCTTTTTTCCTTCACAGAATTAATTTATTTGTCTTAACAACAATTACTATTACTACTGTCCGTAGGTACGGCATGTGCTTTGCACCTTCGAAGTGCAAAGTAATTTTACAAGACTGATAAGATCCTAATCCTGTACACACCTTGTGTGATGAGCAGATAGAAGTAGTCGAGAAATTCGTGTATCTAGGTAGCTGCATAAGTGCTGGTGGTGGTGTGAGTGATGAGACCAATGCACGTGTAGTGAAAGCCAGAGCGGCTTATGCCAATCTGGGCCACTTTTGGCGCCTTCGTGATGTTAGTCTGGCTGTAAAAGGTCGGATCTACGACGCGTTGGTGAGAGCAGTTCTACTCTATGCTTGTGAAACCTGGACTCTCCGAGTTGAGGACGTTAGATGACTCTCTGTGTTCGATCATCGTTGTCTCCGAAGGATTGCTGACATCCAGTGGCAACACCATGTTAGTGATGCAGAGGTTCGGCATCGTGTGTTCGAGCATAGAGACTATAATGCGATTGGCGTCACCATCTTGAAACATCGACTTCGGTGGCTTGGACATATTCTAAGAATGTCGTCCCAGAGAATTCCACGTCGTGCATTATTTGCCGACTTTGGGACTGGTTGGAAGAAGCGGAGAGGTGGTCAGTGTATGACATGGTGTTTTGGTATGAAAGAAAGCTGCAAAGGACTGGCTTGTGTTGGACCTTCACGACTCCCTGGCTGGGGTCCGAGAGGTGGTGCGACACAGTGGCTAGAGACGTTATCAGATATGTCTCAGAATAGAAGCCAGTGGCGATCCTGCTGTAACCTTCTTTTAATTTCTTCATAAAAAGTGGTTGTAACTTCCTCAACTGAAGGAATTCTTCTGGTTTCGCCTTTCCGTTTCCCCATTATTATTACTATTACACTACCATACATTAAGCTGTGGTTGTTATTGTTTTTTTTCCTTATACACACTTTACATTCTTTTTCTCTTCCCATTCTCATTGTTTTGTGTGGCGTATATATATCTGGTGCCCCCTTGTACCAATATTTATGTGTTCAAATAAAATAAAAGAATAAAACTGACAATAAGACGTGATATAGATATACAACCTCCGTTTACTCTTCTGTGAAGTCATGGTACTAGACTGAAAAAAAGCTACGAACTACCAAGCCAGAATATAACATTAACATGTCTTGTCATCGGCTTTTAGTTTGATTCGTTGCAATGAATCCAAATCAACTCACTAAAATCAACGCCATTTACATGATAAATGTATTTGAAGATTTTATATGATATGGCTTAAAATCGATCGCATTAGCACCAGTGCATTCATTTCTTAAATTCTTATACTAGGTTTTAATATTATCTCATACATCGTATTCTTGGATTTCGATAGTTATTTTCAGGCTTTGTTGCTATTGCTTCAGTTTCTTTAATTTTCATTTTATGAATATTGTTGCTTTCTCTCCATTCAAGGAAATAAAAAAAGTGTAGCATGTTAGATTGGGTGAACTAGTCGGGGCGAGCTGGATCTAGGTTTCGTGCTGGATGGGACTCGTCAGTCAAGAGTAACCGTAGTTTTGACAGAACTGATGCTCTTTGTGGGATTCAAACCTGCCTCAATGAGCTTCATGATCTTAAATGTTACTATAGACTCATTCGGGGAGCCACCACTTAATAACAACTGAACATAGTGCATGCGATGTCCAGTCATTTAGGTCGGTAGCCACATTGCAATTTGATCAATAAGATTCGATCAGCACTAAATGTCTAGATGAGCATGACATTGTTCACTGTATTGGTGGTGTTTCGTATTCTAAGCTGAATGTTTCGGTCTTCGAGCATTCAATATTCTTCTGAATAAAATCAACAGCAAAAATTCCGGGTAGGATTGATTCATCAACCATAACACTGTAGCATAACTAACAATCACTTTAACAATAAATATGTTTTTGTAGTATACTAATGTGTAGGAAATTACATTTCTGACGTTCTGCAACGTAATGTAAGTCACTTTACTTTGGAGAAGTGACTTACATTACATTGCAAAGCGTCAGAAATACAATTTTTTACTCACTGAGATAACACAAAAATATATTTATTATTAACTTTCTACCCAATGCTAATTCTATTTGAAACTATCAAGTCCAACCTCAGTATTAATACCTATTAACAGTGACTTTTTTCCAAACTATAATCAGACTAAATATCAAGTGATAATAAGGAAGGTTATCCAAAGTGTGAGAAACTCACAAGTGTAATTCTTATTATGACAAGGTCCACAAGAAATAATAATCAAAAGTTCGCTACTACAATCTGGCTTAGTATTAATTAAGGATTGTTTTCGTCCTGAAATGAAATACTTTGAAAGGCTGAATTAATGTTAACTAAGAAAACGGTTCTCTTCTTCTCACATGAGACTTCATTCCATCATACAGATATAGTCCATTTGAACAACAACAAAAAACTGGAAAGACTTGAATTTACATCCGAATGGCCCTGATAACGACCACCTTAGTAGCTGCTTTCTAATTTTCTACCTTAACACTATCAGATCCAGAAAAAAATTCAAATTATAACTGTGACATTGTTATGAAGTATGCCACTGTCAATGATCACGTAACAGTATCGTCAATCAAAACAATCACATATATGACCTGGTCTCTGTGCTAAATCAATGATGAGTTAATCAGCACAAGCAATCCTGTAATCTGGTGTACACTAGTTATCAAATGGTACTAGACATTTGATTTATACCATTCTTTTCTTTGAAAACAAGTCTTTATATGGTTTTTTTTTCAGGTCATGTCGAAATATCATTATAGGTCAAACAATTAACATTTATTATGCCAGAAAAGGTAGTGTATACGATCCACAAAATCGTATTATTTCAGTGCACAAAATTTATAAACGTGGAAATATTGGATATAAAGTAAGACTATTATTATTAGTTATACATTACTTTCTTCTATGTGAAACAGTGATTTGTAATATTTCATATTTGTGGCGCCTATTTTAAATAACTCTACAGATAAACAAACACAATAGAGTAAAAACCCTAGTACAATATTGCTTGGATTCTTGGCACCATACGTTTCAGCCATCAAACTTAAAATGTTTTTTGAAAGAGGAATTCATTGGGAATTACATAAATTTGTAGATAGTATATGTCCCAAATCGACGATAGTCCAATTCCATTGGTCATAACTGACTTATATCCGACAGAGGTTTGCTCTACCACTCATGAATTCTTGACAGTATTTCTGGAAATCGTCTCGAAGTAAGTCATTGGTGAGTATATTACCAGCTTTAAAGGGGTTGTAAGTCCGCACGGATGAGAAATCTAATGGCTGTCCAATATTCTTGTTTCTCAGCAGTAACCCAGTTGAGGCGAATCCGTAAAAAATACTGTTTTAACAGTTACATTTAATCATGCACTTATAATACAGTGTAACCAACCACAAAATAGTACAAAGAAATACTCCAAACAAAACAAAATCCCCCATATAATGCAGAAAAACGGGTGAATTCGTGTTTAAAGCAAATATAAGTGATAAACTAACGTAGAAGCACTTCAATTAAAGTTGGAACACTGGCTAGCAGTGGAATACGGGACGCGCATTTCGTAATATTTGAGAGTAGTCGGGTGGACTTACCTGAATCCCAGCGTTTGATATCTATACGGTAACTCGAATGCAGTATCTTTCGCTTCAAACGCTTATCGCACCATCGTTTGGGTCCACATAGCCACTTCCTTATACAACAAGCATGAATTTCGCTTACGCTTATATCTTTCCACTATCGATGTCATGACATGCAATTAATCAGTCTCTTTCAGTATATACACATCCTGTGCTGTTACAAGTTTTTTAATTAAAGTCACAGTTTTATTTATTTATTTGAACACATAAATACTGTTACAAGCGGGGACCAAATACATATGCGCCACACAAATCTCATTTGATTTGTGTGAGGGCTGTGATACTGCTTGGATGCCCAAACCGAAGCGGGTGATTTTCTTAGAGGGCCGCACCCGGAGCCTTCGACCTAAAGGTCTGATCCACAAAACAGTGTAGCATCGTAAGGATGCAGTCCGATGGTAGCCGGTGACCAACGATTGGTTCATACGCCATTTTTTCCCCTCAGGATCTTGGAAATCATGTGCACCAATGGTTCGGAATCATGGTTTTCCAACTCCCTTAGGTCGATCCTCCATACCCACCAACCCGGTTAAAGCGCGGGACATTCGCTTTTCGTCCTCTCAATTTCGTAAACAACACCCCCGTCACGGGAAGGCAGTGAGTAGGACTTCCCTGGCAGTGATTGTGTACGCGTGACCATATGAGAGCATTTCGAGAGGGAGAGCGGACTCCCCCCACTCTCGGCCGTGCCAGGCCAACTACTGGTAGTTACAGTAGTGACTACATGACTCCCGTTCCCTCCTGTTTGGGACTCGTCAACTGGAAACATTCCAGACTTAAAGTGTATAACTATTTATAAACTCAGACAAAAACTCATTAATGAATATGTTATAAATTCTACCTTTACAATGGACATCTTTTGTTAAATGAGCATCGAAAATGCATTTCCATAAACAATAACACTAATTCCTTGAAATTCGATAAAACCCTATCTTAAAACATGATGACATAACTGTCAAAAATTGATTTGTTATTCTCAATTAAATCTTTAATGAATTATCTGTGGGCTGAGAAGTTATACTTGAATATGTTCGTTTCATTCTTCAACATACATTTAATTGGTTAGCTAATGTTCCTATATTCTAATAACTATTCAGCCGTAAAGCAAAACAGCTGCGAAACGTGGTCATTAACAGTTGAAGATACTCGTAAGCTACTAGTATTTGATCACAAATGCCTTAGAAATATTGGTCGCATCTGCTGGGATCATCGAGTAAGTAATAGTAAGGTTAGACCCAGGTTATTAGAGAATGATGCTAAATCATTTGATGAGGTTGTGAATCTACATCGACTCAGATGGTTGGGCCACGTGTTACCCATGCTTGAACACCGATTATTACGACACAAAATCCTGACTAGTGTTGGAGATGATTGGAAGAAAGCTAGGGGTGATCAAACCAAAATGTGGCCTCAGTGCTTGAAGTCACTAATTTCTAGTCTTAGCCATGTTGGTAGATGCAGACTACTTGGTTGGGGTCCGCGTGACTATCGTAGCCAATAGTCGGAGACTCTTGGTGACATGGCTCAGAATCGATCACAATGGTGTCGGTGTATACACTTTTTGTCTTATTTTAAACTATGAGATTAAAATCGCTTCGTATCTTTCTACGCAGTAATTCCTTCTTCCTGTACTATATCCTTATATGCAATCCTTATTTTATATATTACCACCATTGAATTAACTACTTCTGTGAATCCGTTGTTCATCTTGCTGTGGTAATGCGGTATGACAACTTGGGTCGATGCACATATGTGCCTGATCCTACGTTGTAGCTGACTGATAACTATTCAGTTAATCATAATTTAAAGTATTATTAGTATGAATAAATTAGTGATTCAGTCACTTTGATCATCATTTGAGTCCGTGTAAAATAGAATATGGTATAAAAGCATTCCGCTAACCATATCATTAACACCTTTTAATGTCAGTGTTTTTAATTCGAATTCTTCACAACCCCTACATTAAAACCAAAGCTTAATAAATCACTACAAGACTAAATTGGTTCTAGCTAAAGAATTAATATTCATCAAAGTAAACAATGCTGGTCGGCGGCCTATGCTCCATTAGGAGTAATAGGCGTAAGTAAAAGTAAAGTAAAGTAAACAATAAAATATTTTTTTACTTTTGGAATTCTTATATGACATATTTATCTTTATTTTAGTGTCAAGGTTATGCATGTATAGACAACAGTCAATTAAATACTGAACAGAAATTCTTTATTACTACGAATGTACTATTTCATGATTTAACCTTATAATGAATATATCCGATCAAAGGAAATGTTAACAATTTTATATGACTGTCATTATTAGTATCAGTAATATAGTAAAATTTTGATTAAATATCTTTTATTTATTGCAAGAAGGTATGTATGTCCTATACAAAAGTATAAAACATTTCTATACATCTGAATAGAATGAATTTATCAGCTATCATTAAAACCATTGTTCTAACAATCTTTGTCACAATAATAAGATATATTTCAGCTGTCGTTTGCTTCAAACGAATATCTATTTGCTTCTCCATTCATTACTGACTACTTTGGAGAGAAATGATTTGGGCACTAGTGAAGAGTAATACTATGTATTGATGGGCGATTATACTGAAATAGTGATAACGCATATTAATTTATCAGTGTATAGGGTTGTGGAGATTGTTGAGTCTAGATTGACATCATGAATGGATCAATGTTAGACCACCATTGAAAACCTGGAAGCACTGGACGGTCGTTTCATCTAGAGATTAAGCATTCGCACACGAGACCGAAGGTTCTGGATCCGAGCCCTACGTTGCGGGATGGTGGATGCGTACTGATGAGGAGTCCCATTCTAAGACGGCCGTCCAGTGCTTCCAGGTTTCCAATGGTGGTCTAACATTGATCCATTCATCAATTTAAACATAGTGATTTAATTTGTAAATGATTTTAATAAGTGAATATGTGATAATATACTCTTTTATTATCATCCTATCTTACTACATGTTCGCTAAACCTCTTCGTTGTATGCACTGAAACAATTGATAAACTACGTGATACTGTAAACTATATCAATCAGAATCTCAAGAACACTGAGTAAGTACCCCGGTACTAATTTGTATGATTCAAACTTATATGTATTAAGTAAAAAACTACAATATCAATAGTATGAAACTGAGTGACTGATTTCTGACTAATTTGCTATAATTTAAAGATAAATATAATCCCGAGACCATCGAGTAAGCAAAGCAGTTATTAGGAAACGAGTACTAGGTAAGGATGGCAAATCAATTGATGAAGTAGTGAAACTTCATCAGTTGAGATGGCTGGGACACGTGTTACGTATGCCCAACCACCGACTGCCTCGACGTGCGATGTTCAATGGTATAAGAGTAGATTGGAAGAAAGCTAGTGGCGGCCAGACCAAAACATGGCACAAGTCCATGAAGTCACTGACAAGTGGACTGAGTCATGTTGGTAGGTGTAGACTACCTGGTTGGGATCCGCGAGATGATAGCAACCGATGGTTAGAGACCCTGAATGACATGGCTCAAAATCGTTTGCAATGGTGAAGGTGCATACACTCTTTGTGTTCTCCCAAATCCTAATCTCCTGAATCATCCTTGTCTTTTTCCTCTTTCTAAATTTATTTCACTGGATTATACTCTTTAAATAACATCGTCAAACCCTAATCTTTCTGACCACTGCTTGTACTCTTACCGCCTCTACTACTGCGGGATTTGAATCGACAACTGCATGTCTGTGCTAATGTGGTGTGGCAACTCAAACTGATGTATGTACGTACGAAGTTATACGTTGTTAGATCCTCATCAGGCTAATATACACTAATAAACGGTAATGTATTTACATGCATAAACGAAATTATTAAATTAATTAAGGCAGTTTATGAGACAGTGATAACAGTGGAATACATTACATAACTAAACATAATAAGTAAAGAGTACAAATTGATCATGTAATGAAAAGTGTACTAGTTGTGATAAGAATAATAAAGACTTGAATTAATGTTTCATAATAGGATATAGGTCAATAACACTCATAAAAAGCTACAAGATTACGTAATAAGAAGTGTTCAAATAATTGGACATTGAAGTGTATATTTAAGAAAGAAATAGGGGGGGGGATGAAGAACAATAAACAAACTGAATATAGAAAATAATAATCAGTGAAATCTTTTACTGAAGTTATTTCTACCAAGGAAGAGATAAAAGTGTTGCACGTTACTATAAGCATATATACTGAGCTCTCAGAGAATAACTTTCAAATTTTGACATTTTCACTGATACTGCCTGACTCAACAAAATTAATAGATTAGAAACCTACAATGGACTACAACGAACTTCAAACTGTTGTATTCGTGATGTGTGGGAGAGAATGATTGGTTGTCTCTCTAGTCAAACATGTAGATAGTCTGACAGGTGTGTCAGATGAGTTATATATTCCCCTATCCTTATTATTATTATTATTATGACTCACTTATTATTGGTTATTCATTGTTGTTGGATCGTATTAGGTTTTTAGTGTGGAAATATATTTACGTTGTGGTCAGGCTAATCACGTGTTCTTGATCTGAGTTATGTTGACGTCCTGTAGAATAAACATTGGGACCTAGTGTAGATATATGTTTAAGGTAAATTAACGTCCCATACGTGTAAACGTGCAAACCCAACCGTTATAACAATTCGGTCTTAAGATAAAAAATGACCAGGTAGGTAGCAAAGGTTTGAAGTGAAAATTCCTTTTGAAAAATGGTATTCCTTTCTAATCTCAATAATAATGAACTTACAAAGAAAGTATGAATAAACTATTATATTAAGATACTTCTTATGCTTACTAGGGTCATATTATTAGTATAACAATATCTTGATAATTAAACCAATCAACTTACGATGATTGGATAGGAATTCTCCTCCACCTACTTTGTTTCCAGTGATTGTAAAGTATCAGTCAGTCAGTCCATCGTAATCAACGTAGAATGTGGTACAGATGTGTATAGGTTATCGTTATCACATCTCACACTAGTACAAAGCAATGAAATTAACAGGGTATCAAAGAAGTGGAAGTAGTAGCAGTATCAGTTACAGCAAGACTAAATATATATAGAATTCATTTCGAAAAGAAGGGATGAAATAAAGGAATACAAATTATGTACTTGCTTTAAAACTCAAAATTTATGGTGAGATAAAGTCAATTCAACTAAACTACGGTAAATAACTCTAAGCCATGTCAACAAATGTTTCCAACTACTGACACCAGTTATCTGAAGGATTTCAAACAAAACGTTTCTATCAACCAAAATACCTCAGAGTAACAGACAATTATTTGATAAACTGACGGAACATTTTAGTTTGTCCGCACCCAGCTTTTATCGAAATGATCCCAAGATTGTCAGCATTGCACTTTGGGGTAGGCAGAAGACGAGCAAATATAATGTATGTCATAGCCATCTTAACCAATGAAGTTGCACAGCTTCACCAATCGATATATCATTATTGGTACCTAGTAAATATGTATCTAACCTCAATACTGCTTATTTGATTGTTTCGAAAAATCCGGGTAAAGCTTTGAATGAATCTATGATGCAAATTATCAAACAACTGATACGAAGATGATTTCTTTAATAATATATGAAGTATAATTATTCACTGAATAAATAAATTTTATAAAACATACAATAAAACATATAGTTTCACTCATTTACATGTGTTCGTTTCCTAATACGAGAGAGTAATTCATCTTGATCACGTTTTATACGATCAATCACTTTGACTAAAAGGTTTTCACTAGCCTGTAAAGCTGCTTTAATTTGTTTACAATTGTTGTTGCTCTCCGTATCCTTTTCCTCATTTTCTTGTTCATTATCAACATTATTATTATTACTATTATTATTACTTTCTATAGTCTTCTCCTTATGGTCTTTATTTTGCAATGTTAATAACTGACTTTTCATTAATTCAACGCATATTTCCAAATCAAATTTAGCTTCATCCATTTTACCTTGATTAAAATAAGATTGAGCACGACGAAATAGTACTTTATGTATATCTTGATAAGATATTTCAAAATTATCCCAATAGAATTGAAGTTTTTCTTGTGAAAATAATGATGTATTAATGATATCTTGATGATAATAATCATTAGTTGATGAATATATAGAAGAATCTATTTGACATGAAAGAAGATATAAAGCATGTGAACAATTTCGAGCACAATATTCATTAGATCCAACTTTCAATTGACATAAAGCAACATTTGAAAGGAGGCTGCGGAAAAAACAAACATGAAAAGACAATTAAATATATTGAATTAATTAAAATCTATCTATGTAAGAAATGAGAGGAACTTCTCATTTTTCATGATTAGGACGTAATGATGTATGTTACGAATGATTTTTTAAAACTAGGTTTGATTTCTGCTATTCATTGAAACATTCAATCCTTTTCATAAACGAATATTATGTAACTAAAACTCGTCATTAGTTATAATTATTTTTGTTTGGAAGTTATCAAATCGGTAATCATCATAGGCTATAAAATAGCCTTCAGTGTAGAGAATGACTAAGAGTAACTAGGTCCAACTTACCATGATACATCAGCATGACGTGATGAAATTAATGAAATGAATAACAAAGTTGGAATAATAATGGTGTCAGTGATCATAAGAAAGAAGAAACGCCCATAACATATAGGAAAGAAATAAAACAATGCATGAAGAATTACTGAGAACTAAGATTTAGTTGAAGATAAAAAAATGAATGCATCTACGTCACTGCAAATAATTTCGATCCATAACATTCAGAGTCTTCAACCACTGATCCTTGCCATTAGGTGGATCATATCCACGTAGTCTACGTTTGTCAATACGACTTCGTTCAACGGTTCATGATTTCATGGGCTAATGACATTACTTGGTTTGTTTACCTCAAGTTTTCTTCTACCTTACTCTTATGTCAATCGATCAGCGCTTTGAGAGCCCATAACTTACAAAATGGACGTATTATATAAATAAACAATAAAGGTGTTTTTTTAAAAAAGGATAACTGTGCTAAGTATAGTGAAATAAGGCAAGTGATTATAATAAGGAATTAATTCTTGAATGTGATTAACCTACCAAATAAGGGTTGCTCAGATTGACAACAAGATTTCGGATAGAGGAATGTAAATTGTTTGACAAATTTGAAAAATTACAACTACAAAAATAGTCGGAATGTGTTACTTTGGTCTAAAGGTGTTGTACACTATTACAGGAATGGAACAGATGATAGTTTACGTTGATCAGATACCATGTTATGGTTTAGTAGTTTAAACATCTAAATTTTAACCGTTATAAAAGAGATCAAGTGACTCTCCTCTCACGTAACACATATATCTCAAAGTTTTGTGCAAAAATACGTACTTATTTATATTCGACTATGAATATGATGTACCGGAATAGAATGACTATTACTTTACTAAGGATAAGGAAATGCTTTAGTAGGGTGGCTTAAACTATTTGTAAAACATGAGTAGTGAACCACTTATTATCAAAAGTAAGACTTCCCAACTCAGTCATTATGTTAACTTTAAAATTTCAGTTCAAATTTGAGTTGGTTTCCCTTTTAGAAGAAAAAAATCATTCTCTTCATGGTGTTAAATAAACTTTGTTGCTATACTAGTGTACAACAGATTACATACTTATTTTCAAATGAAAGCTGATAAGTCAATTAGGAAAGCAACGAACTATTTCTTATACAATAGTGGTGGGTAAATTAAGAAAATAAACTGATGATAAAGTCATGTTTCTTCATCACTTGTTGAGTCTTCATTATTATGATAAATGAGCTTTGTAAATTGAGAATTACATTAGTGAGTATTCAATGATAGTGTTCAATGTTAACCTAGATTAAACAAAACAATACATTTGCCATATAAATGTTTCACAATAACTTAATGAAATGAAATATTAGCCAAACATTCGATCACAATTTTATTTATGCAAAACATCAACTGAATAACTTACAAATGGTTAATGAGTAATAACAGAATCTAAACAACCGATGATCTCTGTCCCAAATAATAGAGGTGACTACTAAGCATCTAGATCATTCTTACTTGGTTAACAATGCCCAGATATCGAAGTTGGCGATATCTAGCTATTTACATGTTTCATTAGTTAATTCATTCGTTTCTAATACTGAATAAAGTGAACAAAATTACGAACCTGTGTCTTACTGATTTCTGATGAAAGAAATATTAAGTAGTGAAGATTATATTTGATGTTCAACAAGGCGATCCCGAGTGCTGTTAAAGGCAATTGTCATACTCCGGTTCCCCATACCGTGGACGGATACTCCTTCTTGAAGGATATGAAAAAGTAAACTGGGTTAGGTCGATTCAAACGACTTGAGAGAGTGACCGTAGTGCTCAAGGGAAAACTGCTTAAGGCTGGTTACACGCCGCCTTTCTGTTAGCTGTTTAACATGTTAGCTATATACTTATAGGGCCTTAGCGCGGAAGATGCAAATCAATGGTTTAAGGTGAGGTGCGAAATTTCTTTAGACCGACTTTTTATAACCTCTTTCTTCCGATGTGGAAAGGCAGTATCGCTCCAGATGTTGGTTGTTTAGAGGAAATATCTTACTGTCGTCACACCCCTGCACAATTGGAAGTGTGACTTTGCGATCAAACCATGAAGGCTTCTGATACTAAGCTTTGATTATGATGAAGCTGCATTAAGTGGCACTAAGTTTTTAACCAGCAAAATCACAAGATTGAACAGCGTTATACCTACTTATGTTTAGACAATCGGTTAGTATAACAGGCCTACATAGGGTGAGAGTTAAATTCAAGTAAGTACACCTATACATCGTAAATGAATTACATCGACTATTAGTTAACTTACGTATTGAGTATGTGAAATTGATCAGCAGCTTATGAATGTAATAAAGTGTCAAAAACTGACTCTAAAAAAGCATTATTTCACAAGTTACTTGAACTGTATATCCCACAAAAAAAGTACAGTCGAACGAAAATCAATTCAAAAACTTACATAAACATCAAGCGTAAAGGTTTACATTGTAATGGAAACATAGTTTTGTGATCAATATCCCCAAAATGATCCCAATCTTTGTAGTCTGAACTGTTCAATTTTTCACCGTTATTACAAGTTACGGATTTTTCACCTGATACCACTTGAATCCAGTGTATATTACTATTTGTGCTAGTTTTATTTTTTGTACAATCAGATCCATTTTCGTCAGTTCCCATTGGTAAAACATCATTTACACATGTTTTTTCAGACCAATAAGCTAATGAAACAAGCTGCAAAGCTCTGGAATAACATGCAAAAGCTGATGACCAAATGTATTTGAATAATTCCTCTCTGTTATTATTACTATTTGAATTGTTCAAGTGTGATGTTACACATTTCAAATGATGATTTACTAACCAAGAACCTCTTTCTTTTAAATACCAAGCTCGATATAACCATTGAATTGTTAAATCAGGATTCCAGTCAACTGTAGTATTTTCTCTTAAATCTGATTCCAATATTTTAGCTTTAGCATTCATAGTAGGATCGCCACAGATCGGTGGAACAAGTACATAGTCAACGCGTAGTGATAGATGATACTCCTAAATGAATAAAATATATGAAAACACTAAAAATTTATCGAATGTCTAACAACAATAAGAAATAGTTGTTAAACGATCATATGAAATATTTCTGCAATTTACCATTCAACTTCTTTTTACTCCGAATAAAACATAATGGTTACCAACGTGTAAACACTAAACCGAAATACAAACTATATATTAGTCTGTCAAATATACAAAAATGGAGATTATAAAAACTATATTTTACTAAATTCCCATTTATGGCAATACATGTTTTATCTTCGTTCTTGTAATTCAAAATATCTTTAAAGGTACATGTTAACCATTGCCTTAACACGTTACGATTTCTAATGATAGGTGTTGTTGTTGGTTCTACTATTATTTAGTAAACGTTAATACTTTTATTTAAGGTGTGTGAAACTATATATCTCTCCAAATACAATGTTGTGGAGATGCTGAAGTATTTTAATAGCATCTTAGTTACTCGCTATAGACCTGTCTGCTCAAAAAATAGCCAATCCTAACCATTAATGATTTTGACATATATAATGTAGCCCACTGGATTTTTTACTGAGAGAAGAACAGTGGATACTACCTTTTACATGGATGTTCTTAAGATTCCGATTAATTATGTACACTTTACACAACCGAATTTGTGACTTTATTGTATAGCACATCCACTGAGATATTATGCATATACACTCACTAGGGATTGTTCGCGAGTTTCTGGCCTATATTTTGATCAATACACTTGATTATGTTTACTAGAACGAGCCATATTCAATTTCTTTTCATTCCCCAAATACAGTATATCATGAGAGGGCTGCAATGGAACAATGAAACGACTTTGAAATGAGACTATAAAACAATTGGTGAGTTAATATTTCACAACTGACCCGGTTGAATCCACTGGTCACTGCTTCTCACGAGAACTCCAGGATATACCTCTTGAAGTTAGACATTAACACCGCTGGATGCCGGTTCAGCGTTCTGGTGGTCAAGCGCTCGCGCGAGAGACTGATAGGTCCTGGGTTCGGATCCCTCGATGCGGGGTCGTGGGTGCGCACTGCTGAGGAGTCCCACAATAGGAAAAAACGGCCGTCCAGTGCTTTTAGGTTTTCCATGGTGGTTTAGCTTAAATTGACTCATGACCTCAACTATTGAAGTTACTACAATCTCCACCGAAACCCCTTCAGAAGAATAATTCTTTAAAACATCGAGATATGACAGCATATTAATTAATAAACGCTATCTGTAAACCTAAGGCAATTATCATTTTACCATAAGTTTTATACACAAAGATTTGATTTTATTGAGTACAAAAGTAACTAAATTTTCTGGTTGGCTGTGTTGTCACATGATGTCAGCTTATTTGTGAAAAAAGGCCTTGAGTTAATATAAGTGGGTTTTGTGAGCAGCTGCTGTTTGATCAGTTTCAACTGATTCAAACAATCTATTTTACAATGAAAAAAACAAAATATTTCATATAATCGTTATCCCTTTTTAGGTGGACTAAATAGCCGTCAAAAATAGTAAACTCGTTTCCTTTTCAAGAACATAGGAAAATCATACTTTTCGATGACCAAGGAACATTCACTGAGATATGGATATTAACAAAGTTTCTCATCCTAACCGTTTTAAAACCCATTTAAAATCCCTATCTTTAATCCTTTACAATATCGACATAAGGACATTCCTGTCACTGAACAAATTTTATCTAATCGCCTAGTTGGAAAGGCTTTTAGACATTTAAAGCAACTGAGGTTTGAAAAGATATAACGTCCCCAACTTAAATAGCATATCGTTAGGATAGGTTGTCTTAAAATTATAGTTACTATTAAGCCTCATAAATTCAAACTGCAGGTGGTTACTTTACTCAAGGAAAACACGAAACATTTTGAAAATAAAGTATGGTAACTTCTAAGTAGATCTTTTACGCTGTAATTACACAGAACTGTTAGTTCATTTTCCCATCACAAACAAGCGATCACCTTCAAAATCGGATTCCAGGAAGTGATATTCGTTCAGAAACACATAGTGACATCTTGTTAAATGTTTTTCGTCCTCATCTTTTTACCATAAATTGCTGCCACTAATCTTATCTCTCCAACGGTATTTTTGATCTCCTTTGCATTAAACGAGGTGCTTTGAAGATTCAAAAACCTGGTAATGAGGAATGACATGGTCAGTCAGTCCTTCAGCTACAGCGTAGGATCAGACACATTTATGCATCGGTCCAAGTTGCCATACCTCATTAACACAACAAGATGGACACCGGATTCATAAAAGTAGTTAATTCAGAGGTGGTAATATATAAAAGAAAGATTGCAATAAGGATATAGTACAGGAAGAAAGATTTAGTACGTAGATAGAAAGATATAAAATAATCTTAGTCTCATAGTTTAAGGGAAGACAGAGAGTGTATACATCGACGCCATTGGGATCGATTCTGAGCCATGTCACCAAGAGTCTCCAACCATTGGTTACGATAGTCACGCGGACCCCAAACAAGTAGTCTGCATCTACTAACATGGCTCAGACCAGAAGTTAGTGACTTCAAGCACTGATGCCACGTTTTGGTTTGGCCGCCTCTAACCTTCTTCCAACCATTCCCAACACCGGTTAGCATTGCACGTCGTGGTAATCGGTATTCAGGCATACGTAACACGTGGCCCAACCATCTCAGTCGATGAAGATTAACAACCTCATCAACTGATTTACCATCATTTCCTAATACCCTGCGTCTAACCTCACTATTACTTACCCGGTAATCCCAGCAGACGCCAGCAATATTTCTAAGGCATCTGTGGTCAAATACTAGTAGCTTACGAGTGTTTTCTACTCTTAATGGCCATGTTTCGCTGCCGTAAATTAAAAAAGAACGGACTGCCGCGCAGTATACTCGTCCTTTTATTGATAGACGGATATCTCGCCTTCGCCATAGGTGACGTAAGTTGGCAAAAGCCAAACGAGCTTTTCGCATCCATGCTGAGATTTCGTCAGACACCAACCCATTAGGGCTGATCAGACTTCCAAGATAAGTGAAGTTGTCAACGCGTTCGACTACTTCACTCCCTATCCTTAGTTCAGGTGTTGACGCAGATTGGGATGATATGGACATGCAAAGCATTGAATAATATAAAGTGGACCAAACTGGATTTGGTATAACCTCTTCTGCCATGGTCTTAATGGCTCATAATTTTCTTTCTTCATATTTTTCTCCCTTCACAGCCATCAGATATCCCTTCTATCTTCTCTATAGACCTTTTACTTCCAACAGGTTTACTTCTGTTTCTATGATCTTCCTGATTATATTTCATCTCGATTTCAAGATTATATGTTGTAACGCTGGGCCATCCTTTCTCAATTATAATTTCCCAGCTCGAGCACTTAGCAATAAAACTATTATTAGTTTCCTGAAGAAAAGCTTTAATACCTTTATTTATTCTACTTCACTGTTACCATATTTAACAGAATTTTATTACCACTATTGTTTTATTATCATCCTGAATAACATGTATATATATTTCGATTGTATAGCTTTGAAAATAAATTCCCCGAAAGAGAACTCTTCAATGAACCAATTTTCCTGAGCTTAAAATCTGTTTAATCTACTCCGACTAAAGATGCCAACGATAGGGATAATTACATGATAAAGTTTAACTAGAGGTTAATAAACGATTGTCTACACTATAACTACATACGCACATTGAGCACACAATAATATATAACCCTCAAGGAATACGGAAAGTGAGGAAACTTACTCACGTAGCGGAATTATTTACCAATGTATCAAAATCCTATCTGTGACCAAATATATTTAGCCGCTTACAAATTAGTCAGTATATTATATTCAGTTGAGGCTTGTTTCACACTGCTTTACAACCGAGATATATGACCACCAAAAGCGGAAGATAGGGGTGCTTGATCATGGGTCAAGTGATTCTAGTTGATTCTTTATGCAAAAATGTTTCCAACCCATTCATCGTGATTACATAGATTCAAAGTTTAACCTGTCTGGACAAGACACTAGTTGAATAATCCAAAATGAACACTGATTAAACACCCAAGCATTATCAAACAAAATTAGTATTGATGAGGGGTATTTCTGGACTCCACAAAACAAAATGGATATCGTTAATATGATCCAGATATCAATTCATTATACGGCTAATAAAATTTCGGGAAAGCCAACAAACTGTTGGTAATTCAGGATGATAAATATGATTGGTTTACATCTGATAAGGATGTATTGAAACTACGCAAGTCACAAACTAAGTACGAAAACTGTCTACTTTATTTGCAAATAATACACTCTTTAAAATTATTAAAATTTTTCTTATAATAGGTAAGAAAACATGAGAATATACACAAAAATAAAAACGGAATATAGATTTGGCTTACTGTAGGATCTTTGTGTTTTTCGCCTCTCTCAACGGATTCTATATCTACATTGAACACGTCCCCGGCTGTACAATTAAAGAGGATATTCTCTACCACACCTCTTAAAGAAAGCTGTTTCGAATTTGGCTGGTTTTTAAATTGTGCAGTGTCGGGAGAATTACCCAGAAGAATGCGAAAGCGCGAATTGCTTTTCAGAACAATGGGCTCGCATTGTATATTAAAAAGCGAATGAAGTGGGCAGCATTCTAAACCAAGACCAGATTCGTGACCGTGGTTAAAGCCTATTACTGTACAGAAACATAGAGATCCATCTGTAGCTCTGTAGCACGAGGTCCCGGTACCTGATGTACTATGTTCGAGCTTTTTGATGCGATACATAGCGCACTGAGTAGTCATTGCCTAAACAGAACAAACTTAGTAAACATTTTAGCTGATTTCGTCAAAAAAAGAACACGTTTAGGAACTACGCAATATATTCTATAAAAATATCGGGATGTACAAAACCAGTAACATATATTACAAATACAGTATCGATAAACTACCAGGTTGTGCTGTTTACACCGTGAGCGCAATCATAAGTGAGTATCCAGGATACCATAAAGCATGCAAAAGCTGTCATTAAACCTTCTTTAATGATCTCCCATATCCACCATATTCATCCTCATCAACACGTTGATAAATTGCAGCGTATGCATAGACAAAGCATATGTTTGTTACAAAAAACATGAGGATTGCTACAAAACCCGTAAACGAGGCTACCCCCCAGACAACACCGACTATAATGGCAAAAACTTGCCTAAACCAATACACGACATCCAAAAAGTCGTTTTTGTCGTCAAATACAGATTGCATCTTCAGCGCCTTGAGAAATATACCATAGTTACTCACAAACTGAGTTTTCGTATTCGCCTATTTTTCATAATTAACAACTCCTTACCAAATGAACATTGCTCACCTTTGAGACCATTTTTTCAATACTCAATATCTTTGTCACGAGCTTGTATAAACTGATAAATTTCTTGAGGCTTGCTTCTTGTTGTTTTGGTACGGTTTCAGGTATTTGGTTATATCCGATGGGTGGTAGTTCAGCCACTCGACTCCACTAATTCCAGTCGGTTTGGACTTGTGTATCTTGTAGTTGAGTAAGTGCGTTTATTTCAAGGCAGTAGGGTTTCTGGATACCAGCAGCTATCAAAAAACCAGGTAGGAGGTTAGTTAGTTGCAATGTGAAAATAATTAAGTGATAAGAGATTACTATTTCAAGAATAAATAATTAGTTTACTTAAATGACAATGTGTAAGAAGACGTAGTGTTCGTCCTTCAATGTGCAATCATTCGAGGTTGCCTCAAGGAGCATTGTGATGATATTCTGATAATATGATGCTCGTGTTGGGTTGGCTTGAAGAACTTAAAATGTTGTGTGCCATCATTAGATTAACTCTCCTGTAGCTCAGAGGGAATAATTCCAGGTGCTGAAGTCTGTCCTCGTAAGATTTATGTCTCAGTCCTATCACCTAATTAGTTGCCCATCTCTGTACTTGGTCTAAGAGATTCATACCCCGACAACATTGTGGACTTAAAAGTGGGACCGTGAGTACCTTTAGAACAGTGTTAGGGAAAACTTTGGGGTGACCACGCCAAGTTGTCTCCGCATAAAGTGGAGAGTTGTGTTTGCCTTAGCTGCATACCCTGTGTACTTTGAACTAGTGTCTAAGTTCTCTATGGTTGCAAATCCGAGATCACTCTCTGAGTAGAAAGTCAGGAGAAAATCTACATGGAGTGTGTGTTTTATGTCAAACGAAGCAGAATGTTCATGGTATGACATTCCAATAAATTAAGTTTTAATCTGTTGTCTAATCCTTACTTTACTATAGTTGTAAGGTTCTTTTGAAACTCGAGTTAAGCCTTTTCTTTTTTTATGTACCTCCAGAGTTTTGCGTCCTCTCCGAACTAGTTTTATCTAACAGATAGTTAATAAAGATCAAGAACAGATGTGGACCTAAGATTGTTCATTGTGAAACTATCGATATTAAGACCTTCCAACTCATGTGCACTCTTACCTTGGTACGAGACATTCTCTAGGTTATTTCGCAGCTAGAACCGTTGCTGCTACTTTGACGTGATGTTCGGGATCACATGAAGTGGCCCGTTTGATCTGACTCCAGTTTAAATTGTACGAATGTTTGCTATCGCCTTTTCTCGTTTATCATCGTCGACTTAAATCGCGTTATCCAATAACGGAATTAAATAAGTCGAATAACGAGAATTGACTTGAGAATACATATATTTTGAATATGAAGCGAATAAAACATAGCAAAGCAAAATGACACGCATGGAAGATGGCTGGGAAGCCAACTCCATTTTAATTAAGCGTTACTCAATATTTATAGGCAGACAAAATAAACTGCAGACATGTGATGAATCATGGGACATGAAATGTACACACATATACGCTCATATAAAAAACAGTCCAGATTGATAAGCGGGTAATTGACAAGGTCAAAATGTGACTCCAGTAAAATGAATAGAATGGGATGTCTGAAAGCTAGAATAAGGTAATATGGGCTTGGCATAATAACTGACACTACACACATATAGTGATGAAGCCATCGAGATATACTGACTGGAACAATCGTTTCTCACGATTCTACCATGCCAGACAGGTCGGTTGAAGAGAGATAAGACTGAAAGCAGCAAAAAAACTCAAGGTCTGAGGGCGAAGTCATACTGCTGACTGTACAGAGGTGTGACGACAATAGGGTGTTTCTTTCAAACAACCAGCATAACAGAGGAGTGGGGTTAGAAAAGGTTGACCCTAGAAATGCACACCTCACCTTATCCCACGGATATCCGTTCCCTGTGGTTAGGTCTCAACAAGTGCGGAGTTAACACGAAAATTACTCATAAAAGGTCGTGTGTGACCGACCTCAAGCAGTTGTCTCTTGGGCACTGCGGTCACTCTCAGGTCACTAAGACCAACTCTAACCCAAATTCTTTTCAGGTACCTCTAAAACCTTCCATGGTATGGGCAACCGGGAAGTAAAAACCACCGACATACCTCTAACAGCACTCAAGATCACTGTATTCATAATCAATCTCCTTCAATTCCTATTATTCCTCCTGCCTCGGCTTTCAACTCTAAACTTCCTCTTTCGGCTTCCCCCTCAAGTGTCACCATAGCCAACGATTTTAGTGCTCAAAACACTGTCCCAGGTCAGCTGAAATCTCGCTCCAAACTACACACCGGAGTCTTCAACGTACCCACTCAATGTCGAAACGGCCAGCAGGCCTCCTTGGCTAGGACCCTAGAATCTTGTACCATTGATGTATGCTGTGTCTCCGAAACACACACAAGATCCTAGTGTAGTTATTCCTTTGACCTCACCTCGGCAAAACGAGGAGCCGACGGGATACACTCTCCGTGTATCTGGCGGCTCGTAACTGGTTCTCGTAGCACTAAGCACGAGGGCAGAACAAGAACTATTAGAATGAATCCCCGTCAACAGTCGCCTATGTGTTGTTCGGTTAAACGGCTCCGTAAGAACTCGAAGAGATAAAGACACTCGTTGATTTTCCGACGTTCATGCCTACGCTCCCAGTGGCTGAAGCCCGAACGAAGCGAAAGATCAACTTTACAGAATGCCTTCTGAACCTGTTCAGAAAGCACAACGCTCAGACGTAGTACTGGTAGCAGGTGACTTTAATGCCCAGGTAGTTGGCTTGAACAACTCCGCCTGTAGCTCTTATAGGGTTACTGCCGGTCCCAAGCCCGGGTAAAGGAGGAGGGTTGGGCATGGGGTTAGCGTCCCCATCCCGTAGAAAACTAACTCGCTAAAAAAACGCTTACCAGAAAAAATAATTCAAACCATTTAAACTCTGCCCTGGGAGTTAGAAGGTCTTCAGTTAGAAGAATTATGACGCTTCATGGTGAAAGCCGAGTTCCTTCGGAAGCCACGAGGCCGATGCCCCTTCTAACAACCAGAGCAAAAATTTTTATAGGTACATGGAACGTTCGAACAATGTGGGAAACCGGGAAGACCAGTCAAATAGCAATGGAAATGAGGAGATACAACTTAGCAGTACTGGGAATCAGCGAAACCCACTGGACCCAAGCTGGACAGAAAAGGCTAGCTACGGGAGAGATGCTGCTATACTCCGGTCACGAAGAGGAAAATGCTCCACACACTCAGGGAGTCGCTCTTATGCTGTCCAAAGTAGCACGAAATGCACTTGTAGGATGGGAGTCTCACGGATCCAGAATCATCAAAGCATCATTCAAAACAAAGAAGGAGGGGATCTTAATGAATATTATCCAATGTTATGCACCCACCAATGATAGCAACGACGACATTAAAGATCAGTTCTACGAGCGGCTGCAGTCAATCATTGAGAAATGCCAAGAAAGGACCTAACTATTCTGATGGGAGATCTAAATGCCAAAGTCGGAATAGACAACACTGGATATGAAGATATTATGGGACGACATGGACTGGGACAAAGAAACGAAAATGGAGAAAGATTTGCAAATCTATGTGCATTCAACAAATTGGTCATAGGAGGCACAATATTTCCACACAAGCGTATACACAAGGCTACATGGATCTCACCGGACCACACTACAGAGAACCAAATAGATCATATTTGCATCAACAAAAAATTCCGAAGGACAATGGAAGATGTGAGAACCAGGAGAGGTGCTGACGTAGCTTCAGATCACCACCTAGTTGTAGCCAATTTAAAACTGAAGCTAAAAAAGAACTGGACAAGTGGACAAACAGCACTACAAAGGTTCAATACAGCCTTCCTTCGAGATACTGACAAACTCAATGAATTCAAGATAGCTCTCAACAACAGGTTCCAAGCCTTACAAGATCTACTGAAGAAGAAGAAACTACTATGGAGGACAACTGGAAAGGCATCAAGGAAGCATTAACTTCAACGTGTCAAGAGGTTCTGGGCCTAAAGAAACACCATCATAAGGAATGGATCTCTATAGAAACACTGGACAAGATCAAAGAAAGGAAGAACAAGAAGGCAGCAATTAACAACAGCCGAACACGAGCAGAGAAAGTCCAAGCACAAGCTGAATACATAGAAGCAAACAAACAAGTGAAGAGGAGCATTAGAGCCGACAAGAAGAAATACGTGGAAGAACTAGCAACGACGGCAGAAAAAGCTGCTAGAGAAGGAAATATGAAACAGCTTTACGATACAACGAAGAAACTAGCAGGGAAATACAGTAAACCAGAGAGGCCGGTCAAAGCAAAGAAGGCAAGCCAATCACCGAAATTCAACAACAGCGTAACAGATGGGTAGAATACTTCGAGGAACTCCTGAATAGGCCGGCTCCAATGAATCCACCGGACATCGAAGCAGCACACATAGATCTTCCTATA